AATTTTTATATTAAATATTTTAAGTACTTATGAATAGTGAATATAATTAACTAAATTAATACCTACAGTCATATATGGTAATATATATAATGAAATCAATTTTTATAATATTTTTTGGATTATGTCAGTAAATTGCTATGAAATTAGTATAAGATCTTATTGAAAGTATATCTAATCAATTTACTGCCAAAATAATTGTATTTAACTCAATTTATAGTTGATGAATATTATCCATTAAGTATACAAAAATTTATTTAATATTTTTCATACATAAGTTTTGCTAATAAATAAAGATTAACTAAATGCAAAATATAGACGAAAAACAATTCCCCAAAATCATGTCAATTATGGAAATATGGATTGGCCTATTATATAAATATAGATCTTTTCATCATAATTAAGGATCAAATATTCTCCAAACTTTCTATACAATCTGGTGGAAAATACTATACTCTTCTAGCTATATAAAAATTGCAATTAACTTTTTAGAATATGGTAAATAAAACATTAAATATTTTATAATATAAATTATAAATTATTTCGATTATTTATGTTAATTCTGTTAACCGATCAAATAAACCATCTATTTCGTTCGAATTTACTTTGGTTTGGAGCGAATCATAAAAAGTGCATGCAATTCGAGTGCACAATAATGTTAGAGGAGTTCCACATTAATGACTATCAGATTGCACAATAGCGACCAAAACCGTCCGAATAATTTTTTTTTTCCTGCGAATTTTTATATGTCAGTTCGATAACCTTTTTATATGTCAATTAGATTATCAGAATGCACAGTAGCGACCGAACCGACCAATATAAAACTTTTGGTTTGATTTTTTTTATATTTATGTTCGGTTATCTTACTTTACCTTTGAAATTTATGTTATTTTGGTTCAATGTTGCCTTTATTTTTAAAATAACTGAACCAACCAAATTATATAAAATTTATATATATGTAATATTTATTTTCAACCAAAAATAGTATAAAATATTAACTAATAATATTAAAATACTAAATATCTTTATAATATGAATAATATTTTTTTTTGGATTATTTAAGTTAATTCGGTTAACTGCTTGAATATATCGATTATCTCTGTTCGGTTTTAGTTCGATTCCGGACAAATTATTAAAAATGTCTGCGTTATAATCACACAATAGTGTTAGACATATTACACATTAATGACTAACAGAATGCACAATAGCAAATAAAATGACCAAAATATAAAATTGGTCTTTTTTTAAAAAAAATTAGACTGGGTTATTTTAGTTTTAAAATTTTGGTCGGACGGTTCAACTGAACCGACCGATGAACGATACTGTGTAGTTTGTAGCGCGTTGAAATTTTGGTACTCTTTTTTTTTTACTTCTAATGTGCATAATCACACATTATATTGTGCACATTAATTATCATTTGGAATACTTTCTATAAATTATAAATTTCACCATAAATCAAATTGCAGTATATTTAACTTTTTAGAATTGCAAAACAGTCCCTATAACTAATCAAAATTTTAAAGTCAAACCCATATCAGATTTTCATCCACGCCTCTGTCTGGCCCTCACACCGTCGCCGACGAACATTCTCATCCGGGAAGCCCTCACACCAAGGCTGCGCCACCGGCAGAGGCGACATGTGGTCCCGCCCAACTTCAGGCCCTCCAACCTTCCCCGCCTGTTGAAAAGTACCAGGCCAACAACGAGGTCCCACCCATGGACTGCTCGGTCCGCTCTATCCTCTACGACGTCGCCCCCAACACCTACCGTCCCTCGCTGCCAAGACAAATGTTTGGTGTTCTTCCGGCGCCATCCATTCCAACGGTACCCTCATCCAGACCGGCGGTATCACTCTAGCAACCTCAAAATTCGCATCTCAACCTCTTTGCACCAAGTGAGAGTAAGCCTTTGCTACAGAAAATATCCCTTTCTCATCCCATTTCCATATCCACCTATTCTTTTGACCTGGGTTGATGGTTTTGATTTTCAAAATGATTGCAGTGTCTTCTTCATTGAACAACTCTTTTATCAGAGCTACATTCCATCTTCTGCCTCCTTCTTCCAATAGTTCCCAAACTTCATGCACATTTGTTTCTAAATCCAGTCTTCTGGCTGGGATGCCTACTTGGGAGTTTACTACCCATTGGTCCTGTCAGGCTGCCACACTTTAGTAGATAACCCATCTCCAACCTCAATCCTAAAGCAATTCTTCTAAGCACTTTTAATCCTCATCCAAGTACTCAAAAGCCAGGAAGAGCTGCTAGAATTTTAAGCTTAAAAATTAAACAATCAAGGAATTACTTATTTTTCAGCACTTTACTAACCAACAGATTTGACCTTGTTGCTATCCTCCAAATTTTCTTCAAGATTAAAGCATCATTGAAGAGCTTAAAATCATGGAACCCTAAGCCTCCAAAATCTTTAGGCAAAGTAACAAACTTCCAAGCCTTCCGATGAATATTTCTCTGTTTCTCCTCACCTTTGCTCCACCAGAAATTGGAACATAAACCTGGCTAGATCATTGCAAATTCCAACTGGTAAAGAAAAATATGACATGGTGGAACAGGAAGGGCATTCAAAAGCCTTAATAAGCACTTCCTCCCATTCAGGACAACAATTTGTTCTTCCAACTACATATTCTTCTTTGCACCACATCCACCACATATTGAAATGTCTCCCTTTTTGACTTACCAATGCCTAGAGGTAGACCCAGATATCTTGAGGAGTTGTGAACCTGTATACCTTCCAAAATAGAACAAATATCCTTCTGCATCTCCTGGTGAACATTCTTACTAAAAAATACTGAAGATTTTTTTAAATTTACCTTTTGCCCTGTAAAATTTTGATATCTCTGCAAAATCTTAAGAATGGAGGCAACAGGAGTACTATTAACCACACTAAACACAAGAGTCATCCGCAAACAAGATGTGAGATATCACAGGCCAATTCCTAGAAATCCTTAGGCCTCCAAAGTCTCCCCTTCTTATCTCAGATTTGATTAGTCAAAAAGCACATCAGAAACAAGAATGAAAATGTAAAAGGATGTAGAATCCTCTTGTCTTATTCCCCTTGAAGCCTGAAAAAACCAACAATTTTCACCATTTATGTTAAAAGAAAAAGAAACTGAAAAGATACATTCCATAATCCAACTTTCTTATAATTACCCATTTTTAATAGCTAATTGATTTGCGCTATTTTTCATGTCATGCGTTCTTGCACGACAATTTTCTCCTGTAAACTTATGAGTAGTTAAATATCATAAAATATAATTCCCAAAATAAAAACTAAATAATAATTATAATCCCCAAATAAAGAAACAGAGGAGCTAAAAATCCCCAAATCCCATCCCTTGAACCCTAGTCTTCCACCTCCGTTGGTGTGCTTCCCCTCCGGCGGCCCTAGTTCCTGTGGCCCCGGCGAGCAGCTGGTTCAATCTATGCTTGCTGGTGCGCGGCTATGGCAGGCCCTTATTTCTTCCTCCCGAAGTGGGTCGTCTCTCTTACTGAGTGCCATAGTGAGCGAGTAGCGTAGGGTTTCGTCGACGGCTGGGCTCCGGCGGACGTCTAGAGCTTCTTTGTGGAGGTTCGTGGCGGCGATCTAACCTTGGTTCTTCCCTCTCCGACTTTCTCTGGTGTTGGGAAAGTCCGGTTCTTCGGTGGCACGGGCGTGGATGCGTGTGGGCTCTGGTGTGTGCATGGGATGAGCTGTGGAGTGGTCCGGTCTAGGTGGATCTGCGGATTTCCAAAGGCAGTTGTTGGATCTGTGGTTTGGTTCTAGTTAGCCCATTAGGGGAGTTTCTGGTGCCGTGTCGTGTTTGGGCTTGATATGGGATATTATACCTAGAACCGGTCCAGTCAGCCCGTCGGATAAATCAGAGGAATTGCTCTGGTCGAATGGAGTTTAAGCAGGTTGGTTATGATTGAAGACCATAGCAAACAAGAACCTTAGGAGAACAGACCGGTCTCAGCCCTGTGGAGGATCTGGTCGAGGGACTTTCTGGTCGAGCAAACGGTTAATGTGATCGGCCACTTCACAGACCAAGAGCAGCCCAGCGGCTTACCCAGATTTGGTCGAGCATAAGAGCATTTCAAAGGAATCTTTACACACGCGCGCGGGACACGTGGTGTGATTTGATTGGCCTATACTAATAACCGTTTATGACACACCTACGCTATGGGTTGTACGATCGGGCAGTCCGGGCAGTCCTTGGGAAACCAGCTTAGCTAATCCGGGCAGCTTCTAGAACAAGTACCTCACCCCTATATATAGGGGTGAGCCTTGCGATTATACATGACACTACTATTATTCTTCATTCTTATCACTAAAAACCAGATATAGCTTGAGACTGACTTGAGTGTTGGAGGCTCTTTACCGGAAAATCCCTCCGGTGTGAGAGTTTGTGCAGGTGTTCAGCGTTCTACCGGCGAGGACAACAAAGGCGAGACGATTCTTAGCCGGTCGGAGTGTGGACTTATATAAGGGTAGTTCTAGTAGCTTCTCTCGGGTTTCGCATTTGGTTGTTAGCTCGGGTTGTATTGGTGCTTGGTTTTCTTGTTTGGAGGGGAGGACGTTTAATTTTGTTGCCTTTTTTTGTTCTGTTTTCCGTTTTGTTTTTGCGTTTTAGTTTTTGTGGTTAGTTGTGTTTTTTGTTTTGTATTTTATTCTCCCGTTGGGAGTTGTTTGTATTCTCCTGTTGGGAGCTTTGTATTGTAGTGTTGTTTTTCTGTGTTCAGGTTGGTTCTAGGATACCTCGAGCTAGCGGCCTATGGGGTTATTCTTCCCAACTAGATTCAGCCGAGTAGTTGATTTATTCGACTATTTAGCTACTTTTTAGTCTGTAATTACGTGTTTTTTAGTGAATCGTTTGAAAGCAAAAAGTTATAATTCCCAAATATATGGCACTAGCTTTTAAAAGAACTTATTACTGCAAGAGTAACATAATTGGACTTCGGTGTGGTGGAGCGGCGCCATTTGTGGTTCCGTGACGAAGAGTAGCTGAAGCCCAACAACAAGTTGGGTTCTACTTCAATAATGTACCACATATACGCAAAGCCCACTAAATATCACATGGCCCAACCTGATCTCTCTCCTCCCCTCGTTCGCTTTGTTCCGTGAAGATCTGAGTCTGCGTTCTCTCTCTCACGCTCTGCGAAACGTGTCAACTCAACCGAGTGGGGGCTCCCGACGTTAATTTCTGTAAATTTTCCATCTGAATCACACCTAGCATTTTTGTTCCGGGTCGAATTCGAGGAGGATGTCGGATCCGGAGAACACGAAGCTTGGCAGGATGCTGCTGGACGAGATCACCCCGGTGGTCATGGTCCTCCACACGCCGCTTGTAGAGGAGACGTGCCGGAAAAATGGGCTATCCTTTATTGAAATGCTGAGCCCTTTCACCAACTTCATAAATATTGACGGTACAATCTGTGAAGCTTAAACATTTTCATGATGTTCGGGTTCTGTAACTCGTTAATTCTGTTTAATGTTTCAGTACCAGTGAGGACAGCTAGTGATCAACCCTACAGACTGAGAAAGTTCAAGTTAAGATTGTTTAATGCTTCGGAAATTCGGCAACCCAATATCGAGGTGAGTTGGGTATTTTGGTTCTGCATTGGATTGAGCTCTAAGTTTAACACTTTTTAGGCCACATATGTGTCCATTGATGTATCCTAGCTCTGTATACCCTATTTGTTATGTTGCAAACATTTATTGATTTCAAATTTTCATTAAGGGTTGGGCTTCTCACTAGGTTCGTAGATATTGGGCATAGTAATTCAGTCCGGAATGCCGCAACTCTTTTTTTTCTTTCTTTTTTTTTTCTTCTATTTAAGAAAATTTGATTTGATTATGTGTTTGTACTCTGCTTTGTTCTTGTCATCGTTGAAGTGAGGTTTTGCAAGAATTAGTTGCCTCAGCTACAAGATTCATGAAGAACTAAATTACTTGAGTATATTTTGAGATGCAAGGATTGTATGTATATTAATTGGTTTTCCCTGTTTCTTGTGCGAGTACAAAGTGGCTTTACCTGGTTTTCCCTGTTTCTTGTGTGAGTACAAAGTGGCTTTACCTGCCTCAAGGTGCTTTCTTGAATTTTCTTTTTTATTTTTTAAATAATCAAGAGTAATGTGACAATTATAGTGGTTAGCAGTGTTATAGGCCGAGGCATCGGGAGAGAAGAGGTCTCTAGCACCTGAGGGATGCCTCTTGAACATGACGCGGAAAAAGATGAAATATAACTAAAAATTGGTATAAGCTTGTAGTCATAAGAAATCGACAAGTAATGAAGCAAAGTTTTTATGAACGTGTAATTTGGCTGCTTGGGGGAAGATTGTGCTAACAGTTTCATTTACAGCTTTAGAGAAATAAAAAACAATAAATGAAATTGCAATTTTCTGCAGTTGTGGAGCGCAAGAGAGGCCTCTGGATGGTTGAAAATTTATGCCGCACCTCTAACGTAACTGGTTAATAGATGAATATTTGGGGACAATTGAAATCTATTAGCTACTAAATATCATATTGTAGCCTTCTTGGTATCAAGCAATGCATTCATTTATGTATGTATGCCTGTTCCTCATGTATATTTATTATGAATATTACTCTTTTTGCCTACAAATCTGTTATTTCAACTGAAAGTGTGATGCTCAGTTAAAAGATCATTTTGACACTTGTTACTTTTTCTCTGAATCTTGTTCTTGTTCACACAGTCTGCAAAGGAAAGGTTAAAACAAGTAATCACTGAAGCGGGAGATAAAGATATTTCTGACTTATGCTCTCATCCCCCATACATTGAGTCGTTAATAGCGTGTAAGCTGTAAATCCTTCTATTTATAGTTCTGGAGATTTTAACTATATCAAATATTTTAAGCTAGTAGTTGATTTATTGAGACCCTGCATATTATATTGATATTACTTGCTTTGAAGAGTGAATAGATTATTAATTTTGATAAACGGGCCTAGATATAACTCATCCCCAAAAGCTAGCTCAGCGGGAAAGGGTGCCCAACCCACTGTTAGACACAATAACAGGCCAAGCCACTGTTATACACAATATTAGCCCAGAAATTACATATAAAACCCGCCCTCACGTACAATGTGCCAAACAATATGGGATGGGTCCAAACCCAACACCGCCTCCAAACTAACAAAACATGGGTGCTTTGATACCATGATAAATGGGCCTGGTAGCATTTATCCCCAGAAGCTAGCTCAAAGGGAGAGGGTGCCCGACCCACACTTACACACAATAACAACCCAGTAACTAACTAATCGATGCGAGATAAAACATAACTTCTCACAAATTTGTTTTGTGCAGCCTCTGAGCAGGAGTTTGTACCATCTTGGTTTCAAAATTTTAACAAAGAGTTGATAGACACCGCCTCCTTTTCAGAACACGAAGCTTTTGATCATCCTGTGGCTTGTAAGTCTGTATTCATGTACTTGTAGACAAATTATTTGCAACCCTATTGACTAGTTTTCATTTTTTATTCTGAACTGCTCTGCTAATAGGAGTTGAGAGTTTATATACGGAATGTTTGTCATTTTCTTTTCACGTTGGTGCAAATAGGTCTTCTTGCTGTCTCGTCACAGGATGAAGATCCAATTGACAAATTTGTTGACCTCTTCAACACAAACCAGTTGCCCCCTCTTCTTAATGATGGTGCTATGGATCCAAATATACTGAAGTATTTCTTATTGATACATGATAATCAAGATGGCACATTGGAAAAGTAAACTGTCATCTTCTCCTCTTCAGCTTAACTTTTGGGTTACGCAGATTGCTTAACTTCACTAGATATTTTAGCATATGGATCAATATGTTGGGTATTAAGCATGATTGGATATAAAAAGTTTTTGTTTTGATTGGATTTTTGGTTTGAGTTGGTTAAATATGAAAAAGTTGGTATGGTTAGTTGTTAGTGGGTATATTAAAATAATATTTAAAATAAATGATTAAAATTAAATTGATGGAGATAGAAGATGTGATGTGATGGTTAATTAAAATTATGTGATTTGATGAATAGTAAATTAAGGTTGATGTTGTGTGTAAGAATGATTGATTGATATTATTTAATTATATTGATAATATTGATGATAGTGGGTTGAGTTAAAAAAAGTAATTGAGTTAAAATGATTGGATTTTTTGAGTTGGATTTATATCCAATCATGCTCTAAGAGCTTACATTAACTTTTTTTCTTTTTCCTTTTCATTATTACTGTGCAGAGCCACTGGAGTCATGACAGAAATGAGGAGTACATTTGGTGCAACTGATTGCCGTTTGTTGTGTGTTAATTCTTCTATGCATGGCATGGAAGAACATCAAGAAAATCCATGGGCATATTATGCAAGGATCTTTTTTATTTTCCTTTTAAAGTCACTTTCTTATTTCTCCTTCATGAACTCATGTTTACTTATTGTTCTTTCAGAAGAACAGTACTACAAATAGCAACCAGTTGGGGTGCTTTCTAAATATGGATGACATAGAAGAGGTATTTTCTTCCATTTGTCCGAATTTCCTCACATGTAATTTTGTCTTGCTTGATTAGGACCACTTTTTATTTTCTTTACTTCCACAGTTGAGAAATACAGTGCATGATCTATCATCTAAACATATAATACCTCATATGGAGCAGAAGATTCGTGTGCTAAATCAGCAGGTAACTTGAGATACATGGAATTGTGCAGTTAAACTTGCTTGTTTGCTATCAAAGTAGTAGTCGCTTTTGTTCTTGTTCTGCTTCAGTCTGATGTCTTATAAGCCAGGTTTCAGCGACAAGGAAGGGTTTTAGAAACCAGATAAAAAACTTATGGTGGAGAAAAGGAAAAGATGATGCACCAGAGAATTCTAGTGGCTCGATGTATGTTAGAGATTTTGTACTGTTGTATATTAATGCTACATGCTTGTGTAGTTTCCGTTCTCTCTAACTTGGCTTGCTTAAGCACTATTGAAGGTACACTTATAGCTCCACAGAATCACAGATACGAGTTTTGGGGGATTATGCTTTCATGTTACGAGATTATGAACTTGCATTATCAAACTATCGGCTTATTTCTACGGATTACAAGCTTGATAAAGCATGGAAACACTATGCTGGTGTTCAGGTAACTTTTGTTTTTCGTAAACTCTTCTGTTGGTTGGTTGCTGTCCTGTGCGTGAAAATGTCTTCCTTCATTTCCTTTATTTTCCTTCTTTCTTTTTCTCGTTTTTTTTATTCTTTGCATGCACAATTTAGACTATCCGTCACCTCTTTATATACATGTATTAGGACAAGGATTTTAGCTTGACTTAACTTGTAGTTGTTGTTGCTGCCATTACTATTTTTAACTTATGCTTGAATGGCCTTTCCTGTTCAGGCCATTCAGCTCTAAGTCTTTGTTCCCTGGATTCAAGCAACGGATTAGGTTAATTTTTTTTTTTACATTCTTTTACATATGAAGTCTTGGGACATGTTTTTACATGTTCTTCTATGTTATCAGATTTAAATGTTAACAACAACAACAACAACATAGCCTTTAGTCTCAAGCAAGTCGGGGTAGGCTAGAGATAAAACCCAAGAGAAACACAAAAACACTCGAACCGAAAGGAAGAGATCGAAAAAAAAAAAAACGAGAGAGAGAGAGAGAAAGGAGCAAAAGTCACGGTTCTGGCACGTTGATAGCGAGCCTCCAAGCGCTCCTATCCACCACTAAATCCTTGGAGATATTCCAATCTTTAAGGTCTCTCTTAACCGAATCTTCCCAAGTGAGTTTAGGCCGACCTCTACCTCTCTTAACATCCTCGACCCGCTGTAGAACTCCCCTACGCACCGGTGCATCAGGAGGTCTCTGTTGGACATGTCCGAACCACCTCAGCCGATGTTGAACCAATTTCTCCTCAATTGGAGCCACCCCGACCCTATCTCAAATATCCTCATTCCGGATTCTATCCCTTCTTGTGTGCCCGCAGAACCAACGCAACATACGCATCTCTGCTACACTTAGTTGTTGGACATGTTGCCTTTTTGTAGGCCAACATTCAGCACCGTATAGCATCGCCGGACGAATCGCCATCCTATAGAACTTACCTTTTAGCCTTTGTGGCACCCTCTTATCACAGAGAACGCCCGACGCCTGACGCCATTTCAACCAACCGGCTGCAATTCTATGCTTAACATCAGCATCAATGCCGCCATCCTTTTGTAGCATCAGATTTAAATGTTAACCTTAAGAATTATGTTTTAGCATTTTGTTCCTTTCTCAACTGACAAATGTATGTAAAGTCAATGCTGGGTTTTTTAAGTGACCTAAAATCTTGGGTGGAAACTACATAAGTTTTCACATAATCCTTCGAATAGAACATAATATTGATGGTCACATAACATAATATAACCGTTAGTCATACGTCTTATCTTAACCTGCACCATGAGATCCGCATAAAGTATCCTCTTTCCTACAATCAAATGAAGTGACTGACAACATGCCTGCCTGGAAATGAAGTATCTATTGATGTTGCATATTCTATTTTACCTTCAAGTCAGTTGAACTCTGCTCTGCTTTATAGCTTGATCTTTATATTGCTTTTCACTTGTTTCTTTGAGTTTGGGCGGATTTCTTTTGAACGACGTGTTCAACCTCAACATCCTCTTTCACACCATCTTTTTTATGGGACATGTGACAAACCTATCTGAACAATGAGTGAAAAGCATGCTTCTTTTTTAGTGAGATCCATTATTTTTGGGATGTCAAACTGAGATACTTGCACTTATTCTTCGCTTATAAGTCATAACTTCTAGAAATGGGACTGGCTTTCACAGGAGATGATGGGACTGGCTTACTTTATGTTGGACCAGTCGAGAAAAGATGCAGAGTACTGCATGGAAAATGCTTTTAGCACTTACTCGGTAAGCATAAACTTGTGACACTTAGTATTTTGTCTTCCTTAGGTGAATGAGTCTGGGATTTGTTATTTGCTTCCATTCGATAACATTCTGATGCTTGCATAACAATGACGTTAGCCCACTGAGTGGGCTCGTGGATCGGGTGAATCAGAGTTATATTGTGAAATGTGCCAGTGTTCAGTTTGCAGTACAATGCATGAAACCATAGAATATCAAAGAACTCAAGCTTCCCATTTTCCATTTAAGCACTGCTGCTGTACCACTAGGGTTTCAACTGCAGAAGAAAACTTGTTTAATCTGTCAATCACGAATATGCAAGAGATGAGTGGCTTTTAGTATTTTGGCATTAGCTGATATAAATTTGGAAAATATTATTTGTGAGTGGTGAAAAGGCACTAAAGAAAACGTAAAATGGAGAAGAAAAAGCAAGTAAGAAAACGCAGTCCTCTGTTATGGAGGCATATTACTAAAAATTCACATTTGAAGACAAATTTGAGGAGAAAATGATGAAATTGACCCTATAACACAAAATTTCCCTTCATTGACGATCTGGCATCAATATAAATAATGGATTGAATTTCTGGTGGCAGAAGATGTTGAAAATAAGAATAAGAACTAATATTCACTTGCAAAACTATAGTTGAGCTACTATTAAGCATGATAATTTAGAAAGTCTGAAAGAACTTGATAAATCAAGAAAATGGGCATGTGTTGAAGTTGGTGATATGGAATGGTAAAGTGGAGAACGTTTGGAGGTTTGGCATTGAGTTGTCCATTCTGAAAAGGAGGAAAGTAATCAGACTTAAGGATGTGCTGTTAGGTTTGTCTTTAGCGTAAGTACTCAGTTGATTTCAGGAAAGGATTTCCCTTTTGTGTTCTCTTTTTCTCTTATTTTTTGGTGGACGTGGTGTAGTTTTAGCTGCTTCATTATCTAAAATCTGAGCCGAACCACTTACTAGACAATTTGCTCGAACATCCACTGCTTAGGGTAATCTATTTGTATTTGTTGTCTTTCTATCTCACAGGCTTTATCTATAATAAACTATATCTGTCATAGATGCTTTTGTTGATCATTATCCATTGATCAGTAAAAAATTGGTTTAACTTCAGAAAATTGGATCATCTGGCGGGCGGCACGCCACGCGTTGTGGTATATGGTGGGCTGAGATGTTGAAGGCTAGGAGTCAGTTCAAAGATGCTGCCAGTGTCTACTTCCGTATCTCTGGTGAGGTAATGCACATAATTTTGAAAATAAAACAGATAAAAGATTTTCCTATTGTTTTCTTGAAGCATATCACTGTTAGGAACCTTTGCATTCTGCGGTAATGCTTGAGCAAGCATCATACTGCTTCTTGTTATCCGCACCAGCAATGTTACGGAAGTATGGATTTCATCTTGTGCTTTCTGGGGACTTCTACAAGAAAAGTGATCAGGTAATGGTTCGATTAGACTATTTATTTTATGCTTTCTCATAATAAGATGATCTGGTGGAGTTATTTTCTGTTTTATCATCAGGTAAAACATGCAATTAGAACATATAGAGGTGCTCTTTCTGCCTTCAAGGATACAGCTTGGAGCCATATCAGAGATCATGTCCATTTCCATATGGGGAAGTAATGTCATGGAAAACTTGTTGATCTTTTCATAAATTTGTTAAATCAGAGTTTAGAACTACGTGTACCAGCTTCATGGATTTTTCAGGTGGTATGCATCTCTTGGAATGTTTGATGAGGCTATAAAACACATATTGGAGGTCCTGCTCTGTGGTCATCAAAGCAAAGCAACTCAAGAGTTGTTTCTGCAGGAGTTTCTTCGAATTGTACAGGTGCCGAGCGAAGTTGCTCTTTTTTCCATAAAATTTTGACGGCTTTATATTTGCTTCCTGTAGCTATTTTCTGGTAGTCCAAATCGATAACATGCTCAGAATGTCAATGAAAGTTATCCTTTCATTTTCATTCTTAACTATTTGCTTCAGGATGCTAATGCGAAATATTGATTTTTGAATGGAGTTGTATGCTTAGTAACACTGTGGAACAAGTTGGTTTTACTTTCTGGACGATGACAACTGCAAGGATTTCTTACTCTGTTGCTCCCTCCTATCCTATTGCTTGATTTCAGTTCTTCAATCGAACCTGAACAAATTTGAATGGCATCATATTTTTATTGTTACGTTTGCATGTTGTTTGCTTAATCTTTTGTTATTTCTTTGACTTATTTATTAAATTTTTCAGTCCACTCGAGAGTTTTAGACTCAACGTTCTGTGCTGCTTTCATTTTGCATTTCATTTATCTTGACCAATTGTTGTTTTCTTATGTAGGAAACTGGGCAGACATTCGAGGTCCCGAGGCTTCAGTTGCCTGCGATTAATTTTCCTTCTATCAACATTGTATTTGAAGATCATCGGACTTATGCATCACCTGCAGCTGTAAGTCTATGGTTAATCTTTGATCATATATGCGATGAAGCTGGTTAGTTTCCCGAGTTCTTTTCTGATGTATTTTCTTCGGTAGTTTCATCTCAAAAGATGGATGCTAAATTATCAACAAAATGAAGTTCTTATATATTATTGTTCTAGCCAGTTTTTCTGCATTGTCTTATGGGAAATTATGGTCTTTATGGATCCAGATCTTGTGTCATGTTTTCCCTGCTCAGCATTTCAGTTTATAATTATATTAAGTTCTTTGATTGGATGATTTTCGTTCTCAATTATAAAAGAGGAAGTACCGTATAAAACTTGAGCCTTATTACATTGAGCTCAGAATATCTTCTTTCTTGTAGGCTTTGACATTTCATATGCATCAAATACTGGTCCTATTTAGGTTGACTGGTGGCTAATGTTGTGTTAAGATATTAATTTATGCATAAAGTATTCTGGTAAAAGATATATGATCTATGAGAATTATGTTGATTTTAGAGGATTGGATTAAACTATCATTTGGCGAACCGCACTGTTATTCACTTTACTGATTAAAATCCTCCAATATCTGGCCTTATTTCATGAATCTTTATCTATAATTTTATTTCACGTTCTCTAATATTACAGGCCAGTGTTAAGGAAAGTGTATGGCAATCTTTGGAAGGGGACATGATTCCATCCTTGTCAGTTACGAAGACTAACTGGCTAGAGTCACAATCAAGGGTTTTACCAAAGAAGTACAAAGAATCAAATGTTTGTATTGCTGGAGGTATGAAGGCGATACTACATTCTAGTTGAAAAAAATATGGTCTCAGGAGGTACCAATAACTCTTGGGATTGGTTAACGAAAATTGCATTTCTGCTCCCATAAAATTGCAGTCCTAAGTCTTTTGGTCCAAGTTGAATATTTTTTACACTTTTGGCACCATTGAATTTCTTTTGAACTTTGTTCCTGAATATTTCGCACTTTCAGTTGCTTAGCAATCAATTTCCTGTGCGCATTTGGGCTTTAAAGTGCAAGGATTGATTCCTCTGGAATTCATTTTTTTCTCAACTTATGAACATTGCGGCCAAAAGCATTTGGGCTTCAATCCTATTGGACCAAAATTGTAATTTTCTCGGATAGGTTGACATGGCTATTTGGGTTCATCGTCTAATAGATATTTTGGGCGAATTTTAATTTGCAGTTTCCAAATGCAATCATAGCTTACTTTTAACATTTGTCGTTTTTCCCACTTTTATACCAACATTTTTGCTATACCTTTTCTTTGATAAAATTAAAACTGCTTGGTCTAATACGATAACTTTGTCAGCTTAGATTAGATGGGTACGACTTACAGACTTGTTTCATGTCAATTTCTATGGTTAGAATACTCGGTTTGTTTAATTTTTATTTCTATATTTCAAGTATGATGACAATGTTAAGATCATGTCTGGATGAGAACTTTTGAAGGGAAATGCTATCTGATTCTTGTGAATAAAATTTTGGGCATTTATTTTTGCACTTAAAGGTATGATAATGTGGAGAAGAGATGGAGCATTGATTTTTGTTTATGTGGCATGGTTCTATTGAGATGTATCACATAGTGGACAATGACTTTACCTATTTGCCTATCAGCTTTGTCCAAGAGGCCATGTGTCCACCGTTTCAAATAGAATATAAGTTGTGTTGGATATCAAGTCTGGTCTAAACTCATGGATAGTTTTAACTGCATTAGTGTAATTCTAAGTATGTTCCGCTTTGTTGTTTTGTACTGACTGGTACACACTGTAATTTACGAATGAAGAATTATATGTGTTTTCATTCATATTGCCGCCCCTTCGTAGCCAATAAATGTGTTTCTATTATTGTACAGAGCCAATCTTGGTGGAGATTAGTTTCAGAAACCCTCTTCAGATTCCTCTATCTATCTCAAATATTTCCCTGATATGCAAGCATTCAACAGAGGATGATGAAACTGAACCAGGTACAATCTTGTTTTCTTGTCTTAGTTCATTGTTTACATGATTATGATGTTTCTTAAATTCCAAATGTTTGAGTTGATAATGATACTCAGCTGCCCACTTTAATTTATTTGATTTATTTATTTAACAATTCTACTTCAACCCTAAGTTATATCGTAACTCCTTAGTTGAAATGATAATAGTACCCAGCATTAAGTTTGATTTGCATTGTGTTTTACTATGTAGATGCTGATGCATCTTTGACTGATCATCATGATGACAGAAATTTGAGGACTACATCAGTTAGCGGGTAGGTTGATGAAGCTGTTTTATTTAGTTCAGCTAATATTCTTTTGTTGGTTTGTTAGTTTGTAGGCAAGTGTATATGAGTTTTTTTTTTTTTTTTTCCTTCCTGAATTATGCACAGCATGATTGCTCACAGATGTTAATCTTTGAACTGCAGAAACTTCAGCTTAGACACATCTTTATTCACTTTATCGGAAGTTGACATTTCATTACAAGGGGGTGAAACAATGTTGGTGAGCTCTACATCCTTATTATTGTCACTGCAATAATGAAACAGGATGTATTTTGACATTGAGAAACTGTTCATATTTGTACCCTTTAAATGTTGGAAGCTCCAGTGTTATCAATGACAGCAGGCAGAAATCCCGCTGTAGCGACTTTTGCCCCGCCATAACCGCCATCCTTGACAAATTTGAAAGGCGGTTAGCCAGAAATCCACGTGTCATACCTCCATGGCAGAAATTTGATAACACTGGGCAGTTCAGTGAAAGAGTGCTCTTATGTATAGTGCAAAAGAATTGTCTTAAAGCATATTCAATAAAACAGTTTTTCACATGTCTTTCCAGAATAAGTAATTTGTCTTACAAATTACAATGTCGGAAGAAGTAATTCTCATCAAATTATAGTGATTGGGACAGGAGGTAGTATGTTGGATAATTACTTCTAAAATATGTTAGTTCAACAACCAACAGTAAGTTTTTGCTAGGCACTGTAGGCTTTAGAGTCTATATGTTTCTACTTCCCTCAAGTAGAGGCGGTCTTTTCTCTTTTCTGTACTTAGAAATGTAGTGCTAACAAATTTTCATCATGGCCGTATGTCATACAGATTTCTGCCTAACCGCTCTTTGAAATTGCATGTTGCGATTTTCCACCATTTGCCATTGATAACATTAGAACTAGATGATAAATTTCTATTTTCAGATTGATTGGATGCCACTTACTTCAAGGTTTATCAATGGTGTCTGAGACTCTGAATGTGCCCTCATATGGTGTGCTCCATAAGTTTTTAGGTTCTCTAATTTATGATTGGCTGTCAAGTTATATTTTCGCAATTGGGAAGTGTAATATTGGAAAATCTGCTGCGAGCTTTCCCTTGGATATTAGTACACAACATTGGACTTCTATTTCCTGTAGTCTGTTTATGTTGAGAAAAAGTGCACATACTTATTCTCTGAGAAACTTATGTTAAGAAACTCTATGTGGCAGTGGTTCTTTTATATAGCTTGGAACCTTAGAAGATAACTACTGGCTTTTCTTAGATTTAGGGTGAAAAAGCTTTTTCACAGTTAAAGATGTCTTACAAATTCCTTACGCACATATTTTTCTAGTATTCTAACAAGCTATGTGTTATGCTGTTCAGGTTCAACTCACAGTCACTCCCAAAACAGAAGGCACCTTAAAAGTAGCTGGTGTTAGGTGGAAACTCTCTGCTTCAGTTATTGGAATTTATAATTTTCACTCAGATAATATGAGGAAAAAAGTTGCTAAAGGTAAAAAGAAACTGAAGAAGATGAAAGATGACTTGCAGTTCTTAGTCATAAAGGTACCCCTTTTGTTGCTGTCCTTAAGTGTATTTAGATTTATTTGATCGATAATTGTCATGATTATGCTTCAACTTGCTCAATTTCCAGAGTCTACCCAGGCTTGAGGGTGTCATCGACAACATGCCTGAAGCTGTTTATGTTGGAGAGCTCCGTCGTCTTACCCTGGAATTGCGGAATCCATCAAATATATCCGTAAAGGTATCACTATTTTCCCTTTCTTACTCTTGGGTGATTGGCTGCTCTTGCATGATTTAAAGTTGAGCCAGTAATTACCTTAGATTTTACATGGAACATTTGATATTTATTCTACTTTACCTAATTAACTTATCTAGTTAGGGCTGTGAAAACATTGTTGATGCACCGACCCTTACATTTTTTTTTTCTCCACAAATCTTACCATGTTCTGTTAAAGTGGAAAATCTGACAAAGCAAAATAGTCATTTTTTAATCTTTTTCTATCTGATAGAATTGTTATGAGATCTCATTTTCTGTGTACTGGTCTTCTAATGTTACGTTGGCCATTGTGAAGGACGGTTGATGCTGTACAATTGGACTTACAAGAGTAAATAGTCAAGAAAATGAAATATGAAACTTTATTTAATACGAATGGTAACCAGAAGCTTGAAGCTTCCTAGTAGAACTTAACTTCTGCTCAACAAGAACTACTCTGCCCAATAGCTAAAGCTATTACAATATGATTCTTATTGGCTTCCATTATCTACTAGAGATCCTATATTTATATTTAATTGACATAATATAAAAGGTAATAATAAGAGCAAGATAACAATTGATTTTCAAAAGACAATCAATCCAGATCCCAAAATCACTCCACAATATGTAGATACTCTTCTTTCCTTGGGTGCTTAATTATTATTTATTCTTCAATATACTTTCTATGGTTTATGCCCTATTTCATACGATCTTATTTCATACTATCTCTATCAGGACTCAACTTCCAAAATTTGTTCTAATGCTTTGTTGACCAATGTGAATATGAATTGGACTCAACTTCCATAATTTGGTGTAATACATCGTTGACCATTTTGCATATGGTCCAATGCTGCAGAATTGGACTTAACTTATAAGCCCATTCTTTATGCACTGGTTATTATGCAGATTTACTTATCACACCCTATTCTCACTTATCAGTAAACTAGGAATTGTAGAGCATACTACCCCTGCATTGGCCCTGCTATAAAATCTGTGACTTTCTGTGAAACTACAAATTCTTGATAATGGATGTTGGAAATGTGAAATTCACCTTTTGGAGGATATGAATCATTCAATTTCCCCAAGTTATTACTATGTTATTCGATTATATATAGCTGAAAAATGAACTGAAGTTGTGAGTTGTGACGGATAACTGAGACGTAAATAGTCCTTTTATGCTATGTACATCAGATTTTTTGCGTTGGTGCTCGTCTTAATCATGCTCTCAGCTCTACATCTCGTGTTTTGAATATGTCGAAACTGTTTCTTCCAATTCTTTCTGAAGAATCCGCATGTTCGTTGAAACCTTTTCGTCGCCCATAATTTGTTAGTGCTAGTTATTTTAAACTCTATGCTTAATAACTCGAAGAGGACTGTCAGCATGTTATTATGCATTGGTTTCTGTTGTCAATAAAGTGGTGTCTAACAATAATGAGTGAAGGATACACCAGATTGTTCACTTTATTAGCCATGTTTTCTGTCAGAATTTGAAGCTGAGGATCAGTCATCCAAGATTGCTAAATATTGCAGCTTTGGATGTTATGAATTTGGAATTTCCATCTTTCCTTAGAAATCGGGAACATTCTTTACAGCAACCGGCCGCTGCTGATGCAGTAGATAGCATATTTGTATTTCCTGAGGTCAGCCAGCAGAGTTTAACATTATATTGCATCAGCAATCTCAACGGTACAATGATTGGAATCTATTATTTTATTTTCCTTATCTACAGACCACGGCAAATTCTTGGGAAACGCCATTGAAGTGGCCCCTATGGTTTAGGGCTGCTGCTGCTGGAAGCGTTTCACTTTACATATCAGTTTACTATGAGATAGAAGATGCATTGTCAGTGATAACATATCGAACTTTACGCATTCATTACAATTTGGAGGTAAATAAATTATGATATATATTTTTACAATCTGGAGGTAAATAGATTATGATGTCTATTGTTACCAATTTGTATCACTGAATGCTTAGTGTCAATTAACTTGCTAGGCATCTGGATGGTACCTTTTATTTTATTGATCAACTGTTACCT